TAAAATAAAATAAAATAAAATAAAATAAAATAAAATAAAATAAAATAAAATAAAATAAAATAAAAGCAGTAAACTCTAATTAATTCTTGATTTTGAAACTTTGGCTCCCTAGGCTTTTCGGGAAGGGCCTATTGCTTGGAGGACCCCCACTGGAAGAGCCTGGAAAGAACATTGTTACTAGTGTCCAAACCTGGAAACACCCATCTTCATCTCCCAGGCTCCCGACATCAAAATTGTCATCGGGGCATCTGGGTGGCTCAGTCAGTTAGGCATCCAATTGTGGCTCAGGTCATGATCTCGTGGTTTGTGATTTTGAGCCCACATCAGGTTCTGTGCTGATAGCTTAGAGCCTGGAGCCTGCTTCAGATTTTGTCTCCCTCTCTCTGCCCCTAACCCACTTGTACTCTGTCTCTGTCTCTCTCAAAAATAAATAAACATTAAACAAAAATTTAATTGTCATCAAGTGCTGTTGATTGAAATTTAAAATATCTCTCATTTGCAAGGTTCTCAACCTATATGTCCATCAAGAGGTGAATGGATAAGGAAGATGTGATATATACATAAAGTGGAATATTATGAAGCCACAAAAAGGATGAGATCTTGACATTTGGGACAACATGAATGAACCTAGAGGGTATTATGCTGAGTGAAATAAGAAAGACAGAGGGGGCCTGGTTGTAATTTGGGGCCCCACATTGGCTGTAGAGATTACTTAAAAATAAAATATTTTTAAAAATTTTTCTACAAAGAAGTTAAATAAGAAATAAGTCAGAGAAAGAGATATCGTATAATTTCACTTATATGCAGAATCTATAAAACAATACAAATGGGGGTATCTGGCTGGCTTAATCTGTGGAGAGTGGGACTTTTGATCTTGGAGTTGTGAGTTTGAGCTGTACTTAAAAAATGAAATCTTTAAAAAATAAAATAAAAAACAAATAAACAAACAAAATAAAACAGAAACACTTTCATAAATACAGAGAACAAACTGGTGGTTGCCAGTGGGGAAAAGTGAGGAGATGGGAGAAATAGGGGAAGGGGATTAAGAAGTAGTCCCCCCAAAAATGCTTCAAATAGAATCAAAAGACTCATAAGTCAGAGATAATAACTCATACATAAGCAAAGAGCTAGTTAATTTATATAAAGAAATACTAAAGACAAACAACTTAATAGGAAAATGAACAAAAGAGAGCAACAGGCAATTCACAAAAAGAGAAAAAGAAAAATGACTAATACATTGGGGTGCCTGGGTGGCTCAGTTGGTTAAGTGTCCAACTTCGGCTCAGGTCATGATCTCACAGTTCATGAGTTTGAGCCCTGCGTTGTTGGGCTCTGAGC